AACGGCACAAAAGAAAAAAGAGAACCACTACGAGCTCGATTTGAGCGCAGCGCCCAGGCCGTGCTCTCAATGTACACACGGGCAATGGGTTGGCCAGGTACCTCCTAAAAACACGCCAGGCCCAGGCAGGCCGGTACATTGAAACTGGACGTGCGGCCTGACATCAGCCGAGCAGCAGGGGTGGTTTAGAGGTGGACCCCACTGCCAAACCCAAATGGAAGGCCCTGGTGATGGGAAAGAGAAAAGAGGATCCCACTGCAGCACAAATTTCCCCCCAGTTCACTGGTGCCGGTTACCCGATAGGGAAAACTTTCCCTATATCCGCTTCTCTGTTCTCACCCAATCCCGGGCTCTCCTTCCCACATGGGATGGCCGAACCGAGGGAGGTGCCTCCCCCCCCTACCCCCTCCGAATGGCCGAACCTCAAGGGACGGGCAAAACAAAACTGAGTGAAAACGCCTGCCACGTGATATCTGAGTTTTTCCAAAGCTTTGCCGCAAAGCAGTGGGGTTACACAAATTGTCTTCCAAAGCTTTGCCGCAAAGCAGTGGGGTCCACCAACATACCATCTTCGAATCTTGACGGAATCAGATGCATGCAATGACGTCAGGGGCTCTCGGTAATCCCCCCCAACCCCCCGTCTGCAACCCCTCCCTCCCCCTGGGGGAAAAACAACACAACATAAACGAGAACCCTCCGTTGGGTAACAAATGAGCAAAGTCTACTATTGAAAAAAAAGGACAAGGACCCCTCGCCTATCGGCGGTCGCCGGTGGGGACGTATTCGGCGCGCACTTGCCCGCGCATGTGTGTCCTCCCTCCGACCCCCCCCTCCCTGCCCCCCCGTCCCCCTCCACACACACCCAAACGACACAACAAGCCTCCCTTGGAGGCCAGCAGAGCTGCTGAGCTGCAGAGGTGCCTGCCGCTGCCCTCGAGATCGCCGAGCCAAGCGCTCCCTAAGTCGGTCGGCGATTTTGAGGGCGTTCAATCAATTTCAAGGGAGTGTGGAGAGCAATGTCCAGCGCCTGGGGGGCCTGTGAGACCCTGGTTCTTGCTTACTCCCCGGGAAGGAGAATAGAGGGGGTGCCGTGGGCAGGAAAGAGGGGGGGTGCATATGAAGGGTACGAAGGGTGTGAAGGGTGCCTTGTTAGACAGAAGAGACGGGGAAGAGTAATCCCACCTCACGGTTTTTCACAGTTAACAATTCCATTCCCATCGATACTGTCGATACTGACACCGACAGCGACATCGGCGTCGACGTCGAAATTGACATCGACGTGGCGATCGCAGGGAAAGCCACGTGTTTTGCTCATCACGCCGTGCGTTGAGACACCGTTCTTTGGAACGTGGAAAAGAAGCTCGGCGAGAACAGTAGCATCAGCGTCGGCATCGCTTCAGCAAGGGTAGGCAAGGCACACACCACTTTTTTTTTTTTTTTTTTTTTTCAATTTTAAAATTTAACGCGCGCACACACCACGTGTTTTCTTTTCTTTTTTGTCTCAGTCTCGAGGATCGTAGAGGTCGCCCTCAACTCGACCTGGCCTTCTCTCTTCTTGCCTTTCGTCTCCTTCTGTTTGGTGCGTCCTTCCCTCTCCTTCCTCCT